TTCATGAGGGCTCTACTTTCCTGACTCTGTTATATCCCAAAGATACAGCTCCCAATCCCTTTGCCTTAGGAGTAAGATTTTAACACATGAATCTTGGGGAAATAGTCCATTCTCTCTCCTTTTCTCCTGCTTGAAGATAATTTCCCCTTAACCTTCCCTGTATCTGGACAGAGAAAGAAATGTGGCTTAATAGTCAAATATCTGCACAAAGCCATGATTCCCAATCCTGGCCATGAATCTGGAGAGTTTCTAAAAACATTACTGTCCACATTAGTGATTCTGTATTAATTGGTCTAGGATTAGGCCCAGACATCAGTCTGTTTTTGCAGCTACCAGATGCTTCTGATGTGCTGCAGGGTTGAGAATGATAGCTTGGAAGCAGTTTATTTCAGGCACTCACATGTAGGCTGTGGCCAGAAGAATGTAAGAATTACTAATTAAAGAGTTGGTGTATAAATGGTGGATGAAGAAGATTTCTTGGCAATCTTTTCTGCAGAGTGAGGTAAGATTGGTTCTGTACATGGATTAAATGGTCCCCACCACCAGGTATTAAGAAGTCATGAATATTATCATGATAGGAACATTGTAATGACATGGAAACTTTTTTGGCAGTATATTAAGTATTGTGCAAAATTATATATAAAATATTATTACTATTATGAAAAATAAGCATATTGATAAAAGTCTATGTTCAGTAGTACAATAATTTTCTTTATTTTTAATTGATTTTATTTTTTAAATGAATGCCAGTGGGATGCATTACAATTCTTATTACACATGTAGAGAACAATTTTTCATATTTCTGGTTGTTTATAAAGTATGTTCACACCAATTCATGTCTTCATACATGTACTTTGGATAATGATGTCCATCACATTCCAGCATCCTTGCTAACCCCCTGCCCCCTCTCTTCCCCTCCCACCCCTTTGCCCTATCCAGAGTTCATCTGTTCCTTCTATGCTCCCCCTCCCTACCCCACTATGAGTCAGTCACCTTAAATCAGAGAAAACATTCAGCATTTGTCTTTTGGGGATTGGCTAACTTCACTTAGCATTATCTTCTCCAACTCCATCCATTTACCTGCAAATGCCATGATTTTATTCTCTTTTATTGCTGACTAATATTCCATTGTGTATATATGCCACATTTTTTTTTATCCATTTCTCTACTGAAGGGCATCTAGGTTGGTTCCACAGTTTAGCTATTGTGAATTGTGCTGCTATGTCCCTGTAGTATGCTGTTTTTAAGTTCTTTGGGTATAGACCAAGGAGAGGGAGTACAATAATTTTTAATCAAATAAAGCACACTAGGACCTTGCTACTCAATGTGTGGCCTACTGGTTAGCAGTATTGGTGTCAAGTGAAAATTGATAGAAATACAAGTTCCCATAAAGTTTGAAAAACATGATACAAGACACTAACTAAAAAAAATAAAAAATAGAATTAAAAAAACTATAAGTAAATAGCAGAAAGATCAGTAGGATAGAGGGAAGGGAACTCTTTGGGGAGAGAGGAGGAGAGGAAAAAGGGAAGTCCTGGGACCTGAATTAGAGCAACTTATATTCCATGCTTTTATAATTATGTCAAAATGAATCCTAATGTTATATGTAACTAAAAAGAACCAATTAAAAATACAATCAAAGTTTGCCAAAAAGGTAAAGTATAATCGTTAACTTAAAAATGAAATATCAAGGGCTGAGGTTGTGGTTCAGTGGTAGAGCGCTTGCCTGCAGGTATGGGGCACTGGGTTTGATCCTCAGAACCACATGAAAATAAATAAAAAAATAAAGGTGTTGTGTCCATTTACAACTTTAAAAAATTTTTTAATAAAATATCAAGCATCATCAGAAGAACAGAAGAAGCAAACACAATAGAAGAGGACAGAGAAGATAATTCAGGGTACAGGGGCAGGATTCTAGGAAAAGTGTACAATTTGGGGGAAATAAAAAACATAACTTGTTCCCGGTGTTGTACCAATGTTGAATCGCCCAGCAAAAAAGAATCTAGCTGTCAGTGAGCACTTATAAATATCTCCACCTGTTTTGTGTTTAGCAGCTATAAGAAGTAATTCAGAAGTATGTTACATAACCTTTTCTATCTTCAAGCACTCTAATCTAATTTCAGAAATGATGAAAACAATAGACCATAATAATGGCAACTTTTCTTTACCACTTAACAGTTTACAGAGCACAATCACATATAAGATGTTAGATGAAAAGGTAGTTCTGGTTTTCCTAATATCTGAGAAAACCAAGGCTCATAGATTACACAGACTCAAATAAAATGATACAGTTAAAAGAAAAAGTGATACAGTAAGAAAGTGATGGGATTAAGAGCTCATCAAAAGCCTGATGACTCCAAGTCCGATGCACATGGGCTGCTCAAGTGCAGATTGATAGTGTGCTCTGTAGGGTTAACACCATGAACTATGGAGCAGATGGGTAGCAGGGAGGCCCAGTAGTCATTTGTATAGGATATGAGCAAGACAGAGACTTGGAGGAAATTATAAGGACTGAGAGTACAGTTCTGTTTGGGGAGGCTATATAGCACCTGCATGAACAGAAGATTTACAGACTCACTGCAAAGGTTTGGCCAAGCAAGTCACTTATCCTCTCTATGCCTCATGAGGATAATAATAGCATATCATAAGGTTGTTGGAAAGAGTGAGTTGATATGTGGAAAGAACCTTAAATGGTGTCTGACACATAGTAAGCACTATGTAAGTTAGCTACTGTGCAAATGTAAAAGGTTTTAGGAGGAGTTTGATAATAGGATAATAGGAGGAGTTTCAAAGTACATGAAATTAAGACCAATGGTCTCAATTGTAGCTATGTGTTAGAATCATCTTGGAGGATGTTTTAAAGTTGCTGGTGCCTAAGTTTCACCTCATAATAATTGAGTCCAAATCTCTAGAATCAGGACGCAGACAACAGAATTTTTTAAAACTTCCCAGGTGATTCTGATGCACAGTAAAGGCTGAAAAGCACTGATATAGATAGATAGGAAGAATTGGGGTTGACTTATTGGAACTTTACATATCAGTGATGGTAGTGGAAATACATTGAGTTATGGGAATGAACCTATAGTGAGGATTTAATTTCCTATATTGTCATTGTACAGTAATAGTACTCTGGAAGACCTGAAAAGAGAAGTGACATTTTTGGAGAGAACAAATTATACTTTTACAATGTTGGTTGGATTGTGAATTAGTACAACCACTATGGAAATCAGTATGGAATTTCCTCAAAAGGCTAGGCATGGAACCACCATATGACCCAGCTATACCACTCCTCAGCATTTGTCTTGAGGAATTAAAGTTATCATACTACAGTGATACATGCATACCTATGTTTATAGCAACACAATTCATGATAGACAAACTGTAGAACCAGCCTAGATGTCCATCAACAGATGAAAGGATAAATAAAAATGTGATATATATACAATGGAGTTTTATTCTGCCTTAAAGAAATATTAGATTGTCATTTTCAGAAAAAAAATGGATGGAACTAGAAACAAATATATTAAGTGAAATAAGTCAAACTCAGGTTAAGGGTCATATGTCTTCTCTCATATGCAGAAGCTAGAGAGGAAAAAGGACAAGAAAGTTGGAGGGGACAGGGTTCTCATGAAAATCAAAAGGAGATCAGAAGAAGAAAGGGATCAAGGGATAGAAAATAGGGAGGGAGGAGGGAGTGATTGGGAGTGATATCAGCCAAATCACATTTTTATCTTGTGTATCATGTGCATGTGTGAGTATGTAACAATGAATCCCATCAGTATGTACAACTATAATGAAAGAATAAAAGATGTCGAATAAAAGAGCAGACAAGTTCTGTGACAGAATAAGACAAGCACAGGCAATGTGGTGAGGACTCAGCGTAGGAGACGAAATGTCAGTCAGGGATACAGTAAAGGTCTACATCTTTGAAGTCAGAGGACATGAGTAGTGCAATATCGTGGGAGCTAGGCATGTGGCCAAAGGGACTGTTCCTAAAAAATTATTAGACAGATAATGCAGAATAAGAATTGAGATGAGACCACTGGACTTTACAAGAGGTTGAAGAATGGTGAGAGGTGTTGAGAAGATGGTATGGTAGGGATCAAGGGAGTGTAGGGATTGAACCCGAGTGGAGAGATCTTTGGCTTGAGGCAGTGCCTTGGTATGGGGATCTGGAATCTATAGAGGAATAGAAACAGATGTCGGAAAATTCTGAAACAGGGAAGCAAAAAAGACCAGACCTTGGCTGGCTCAATGATGCTGAAGGTGCCCCAAGTACACCTGGTGATTCTCAAGGTGACTTCTAGAGTTCTCGAAAACTTGGCATCTATAGATGTCCAAAAATCCTCAGCAAAATAAATTCTTGATTACAACGTGTTTGAGTGACACTGTCACTCTTTGTCTCATATGGGGTGGAGGACTAAAATCAATGCATAAAGTTGAAACTGAGTAGCATCAAGGTTACTTTTTTTTTTTGGTACTGAAGATTTAACCCAGGAATGCTTTACACTGATCTATATCCTCGACTATATATATATATATATATATATATATATATATATATATATATATACATATATATATTTTTTTTTTGAGACAGTGTCTCACTAAGTTGCTTCAGGCCTCCCTAAATTGCTGAAGTTGGCCTTGAACTTGCAATCAGCCTGTCTCAGCCTCCTGAGCTGCTGGGATTACAGGTGTGCACCACCACATCTGGCTCAAAGTTACCATTTTAATCTATTAAGAGATAACAAAACAGAGGCCAAGTTTCCACCCACCAAAAGCCTAAACAAAGCCATTTTTTTCATTGTTAAAAGAGTTCCTCAATCCTTCTTTAATGCAACAAAGTCATTGACTTTCAATTTTAGTTTTTACTTATAAAATTAATACTGAAAATAATTCAAAATAGAAATTCAAATAATAGAATTAGAAAATAGAATTCAAATTCATCAGAGTTTGAAACTCACACTATGAGACAGACCCACAGAAATTGGGGCTGACATATGGAATCGAAGATCTTGACTATCATTTCATGCTTACTGCTGGATCTACTTGTTTTGAATGGAATAAGTCATGAACTTGCCAGCCCTGTGTGTCTAAATTGCTGTCTTTCACTTGCTCTCTGATATGCACCAAGCTGATCCCACAAGAAAGCCCACCACAGTAAACTGTCACTCTAACCAACTTCTCTGTCCTTGTTTTAGTTGATAATTCCACAATCCTATCCTCATATTACTTCAGAACTCTAGAATTAAAGCTAACAAGACCTACTGGCTTATTTATATCCACTTTGATAACTGAAGGTGAATGGCCTGATGGAGGATCCCAGAGGCATGCAGATAAAGGCATGCAGATAAACATCCTGATCACATGTGTGTATCAATGTGACACATTTGCAGCTCCATCAGAGCACAGCACAAACAAGGGCCAAATCTGGTCAAGTCATCTTGGCCAATCCTCCTTCTGATCTCCCCAAACCAATCATGATAAAATTCTGCCCATACCTTTCCTCACCTTCCCACTACAGCCCACAGCAAGCTGGTCAGGATTCCACTCTCCCCTGTCTGTGCAACCTGCAGAGTGCACCCTTGACATCCTTATTGCGAAGGCTATAAACAAACGGGTTGGCCAAAGGTGTAATGGTAGTGTACATTACTGCAGCCACCATATCCTGGTCCCGAGAGTTCTGGGAGGGAGGCTGGAAGTAGACCCAAATGATGGTGCCATAGAGGAAGCCAACCATGGTGAGGTGGGATCCACAAGTAGACACTGCTCGGCGGCGACCAGCTGCTGAAGGCAAACGTAAGATGGTGGCCCCAATTCGGACATAGGAGAGTACAATCAGGGCACAGGGGCCCAGCATTAGGAAGCCGCCCTCCAAGAATATGGCCAGCTCATTGGAATGTATGTCTGAGCAAGAGGCTCTCAGAAGTGGTCGGTGGTCACAAAAGAAATGGGGAATGTGAACATGCCCCCCGGCATCCGCAGTCCAATACAGGGGCAGAAGGAGACCCACATGTAGCATAGTATGCACTATGGACACTGCCCAGCTCAAGGCCAGTAGCCAGGCACAGCGCTGGCGATTCATCACCAAAGCATAGTGCAGAGGGTCGCAGATGGCCACGTAGCGGTCTAGAGCCATGACAGCAATGACAAGTGTATCTGTGACTCCAAATGCATAGAAGAAAAAGAACTGAGCCAAGCAGCGGGCAGCAGGAATGGCTGGGTAATCAGAGGCCAGATGGACCAACAACTGGGGCAGGGTGACTGTGGAAAGCCCCAAGTCTATTATGGAGAGGCCACGGAGTAGATAATACATAGGTGAGTGGAGCCGGGAGTCCCGGGAGATGAGCAGTACCAGAGTCACATTCCCCAATATGGTGGTCAGGTAAATAGCCAGGAAGAGGAGAAAGAGGAGACTGTGAGGGATGCTCGATCTTAAGAACCCAAGGAGCAAGAAGACTGGAGAATGTGAAGCATTAGGAGCACAGCTCATGATGAGTGTTGAGGAGTTCTCCTGGAAGAAATTTAAGTCGAAAAGCAATAGGTCAGAGATTAGGGATCATAACATATGCACATAATAGTTATGTTATGCAAGGTCCTTAAAGACCTAGATTCAACTCTACGTTTCTTTCTCTAGGTCACTCCCTTAACTTATTACAACAGTTTCTCCAGTATTTCTTCCTTTTGTTCACTGCAGAGACAAGCTTCAAGAAATAATTACCTATCAACTGTCTTCAGCTCCTCATCTTCCATTCACATCCTTCATCCTACAGCCATCCTGATTTATTCTCTTTGAACCTGTCCAGAGCATAATGTACCATTAAAACCCAGAACATGTAAAGAAATGGTTATTTAAAAGTAGTAGACTTCTATAGTGAAATTGCCTTAGATTGTCATAAAATAATTTTTCTGCTTTATTCCTTATGTTGGCAAATAGTACCATCATTACCATCTGCCTGATGCACAAACAAAAACCTTAAGGAACCCTCCCTAGTCTCCCCACATCCAGTCATTCCTTGCCATCTATGTTTTTCCTTATATCCATCCTTTATTCTTTGTTCATAAAACTATTTAAGCTTTGGCATCTCTGACCGATACCAATTTCCACAACCTCATTACTATTGTCTCCACTCGTCTCCCCCAATAGGTCTTCACACTGTTGCCACGGTAAGACTTTTGATGCGGGACTTCACATTTAACTAGTCGGGGACTTGAGATTCAAATCCAAACTGTTGATCTGACTTGTATGGAATTTTCATTATTAGTACTTAACTTCCCTGTCCAGGGTATTATTATTAAGTCATGTGCTCAAAATTAACATGTCAAGTTCCCATACCCCTCCCTGCACATACTTAATTATTTTGAGAATTTCAGCCTCTGAAGTAAGAGTTACTAAACAGTAGAAATACCCACACACGTATTCAACAATGATAGACATTTAAAGAAAACATAATAATCATCCTTTCAAATTCATAACTGAAAGAACTTTCAAGAATGTAAGGGAAATTTAGGGGCCTATAATCAAAGAAGGATATAAAAATAATATCTAAACTTCATGGTGGTAGAGCTGGTGCTGATATTAGGTAGTTGGGAAAGGACACTATATCAGTCTTCAGAGTCCAAAGCTTGAGTATAAAATCCATGTAGTATAGGAGAAGAGGGCTTAGTCCTGTGTGAGGGAGGGTAGAAACCACCACATAACTGAAAACATTCAAAGTTAAGCTTTCAGGGAAAGAGTATACACAAACTGTAATAGGTACAGATAGATAGAGATTATATGGATTTCTTTGGGCTAAGAAAGAAGGAATGGAGGGCTGAGGTTGTGGCTCAGTGGTACAGCGCCCACCTAGCACATGGAAGGCACTGGTTTCAATCCTCAGCACCACATAGAAAGAAAGAAAGAACTTGAAAAAATATTTTAAAAAGAAAAGAAAGAAGAAATGGAAACCAAGATCTCTCAGTATGCACTATTTGGAGGAAAAATTACCTCCCAAAGGAATCCAATTATGGGTTTTTACCATATGCAGAGTGATAGTGCTAATTTTCAAATCAAATAAACCCTCAAATAGAAAATTAACATTAAAAAATATGCTTAAATGGGTAAAAACATTGGGGTACCTTATAGAAGCAAACATAAAATTTTTCCTCAGGGACTTACAGATTCCAATCCACAGAAGTCCATAAATAAAAATCTATTAAAGATAAGCTTACTATTCAAAATTACAAAAGACACATGAAATCTACTAATTATGACAATAATCAACAATCAACAAACAATAGCATTAACCCCCTCCAACATCATAAAATTAACCAATCTGTTAGGAATTATAAATTATATTTAAAGTGCTTATTGTCTAAAAGAAGGAATAAACATAATAATAATGAAGGCATTATAAAGATAAATTAAATCTATTTGAAAAAAAAATTACTAGAAAATAAAAATATTCATATTCAGAAGAAAGATGTAAAAGAAAGGAGGGTGACATGAAGACAGTACAAATTAACCAAGGTGTGAAAAGAGGATTAAGAATTGCAGAGAGAAAAGGAAAGGACTCATATATATATCAAACAATGTGACTTTTCCTGTATACATACATGAATACGCCACAGTGAAGCTCAACACCAGGTACATCCACAAAACTGAGATCCTAATCAGAATAAGAGATATTCCATAGTTATATAAATATATCAAAATACAGTGTACTGTCATGTATTACTAAAAAGAAAAATATATAAATAAATAAATCAGGGGCTGGTGCTGTAGCTCAGTGTTAGAGCACTTGCCTCGCAGGTGTGAGGCCCTGGGTTTGAGCCTCAGCACCACATAAAGATAAATAAATAAATAAATAAATAAATAAAGATGCTGTGTCCATCTATAACTAAAAAAGATACATAAAAAAATAAGTAAATTAGGCTGGGGCTGGGGCTCAAAGATAAAGCACTTGCCTAGCATGCGTGAGGCCCTGGGTTCGATCCTCAGTACCACATAAAAATAAAGTAAAGATATTGTGTCCATCTTTAACTAAAAAATAAATAAAAATTAAAAGAAAAAAGTCTTAAAAAAATAATAAGTAAATAAATAAATAAATAGTATTCACATGCAAAAGAATGAAAGTAAAAATTAAATTTACACCATACATAAAAATCAATGCAAATGGTTTAAAGACTTAAACATAAGAACAGAAACTATAAAACTCTAGGGAAAAAATAGGGGGAAAAATTCCTTGACATTGGTCTTGTCAAAATCCTTCAAAAGACAAATAAACAACTGGGACATCAAAAGTTTCTATATAACAAAGAAAACAGAAAATAGAATGCATAGATGGCCTACAGATTTAGAGAAAATGTTTATGAACTATACAACTAATAAAAGTTAATATCCAAAACGTATAAGGAGCTCACCTTTGACAGAAAAAACATTCTGATTTTTAAAAATGGACAAAGGATCTGAAGATCCACAAATGGCCAACAGGTATATTAAAAGGTGCTCAAAATCACTACTCATTAGAGAAACACCAATCAAAATATCTGCACTCTCCTGTTCACTGCAGCATGGTTTATAATTGCCAAGAAAGGAAAACTCAGGCGTCTTTATCTCAACTAATTTTTTAAATGCAGCAAATTGTTCCCATACCCTGGCAGGAGTCTACACTGAGTCCCTTCCACAGCGTCCTTTAAGAACTTGAGTAATATTTTGCAGCATACTTTTAGTTTCCAAATGTATTTTCTTAAACTGTCTTTTTATTATTGATCCCTAATTTAATAGCAATCTAAGCAGAGAATTTAATCTCTATGAGGTTAGTGCTTTGAAGCTTTTGGAAACTCACATTATCACCTGATATATAGCTAAATGGACTTGTGACAGGCAAGGACAGCCCTGAAAGCTAACAATTTGTAGAAATATAAACAGGGTTGGCATTCCTGGTAGATGAAGGATAAACTATTCAGTTAAATATTGTGCTACAACTGTAGGTACATATTTTAACTTGTCATTTACCATACTATAGACCACTTGAAAATAGACACATGCTTTCATAAGTGTAAGTCTCCACAACACAGCTGAAAAAGACCTTTTGCAAAATTATATAAAAGTATAACCAATATGATTTTTTTTAACATGCAGAATTATTGTGGTGTTTTTGTTGTTTGTTTGGGTTTGGGTTTTTGTGCCAGGGATTGAACCCAGGGGCACTTTACCACCAAGCTATATCCCCAGACATTTTTATTTTTTTATTTTGAGACAAGGTCTTGCTAAGTTGCTGAGGCTGGTTTTGAATTTGTGATCCTCCTGCCTCAACCTCCTGATCCACTGGGATTACAGGTGTGTATCACCACATCTGGCTTCTGTTATTTTTTTATTTAAAAAAAGACATATATAATGAAATTATAAAAATATGCATGAGAATAATCACTGTTTAGTGTAGTAGGTACCTTTGGGAAAGGAGGAAAGACATAACCAAGGTTGAAATAGCAGCTTGAGTTTTAATTGTATCTGTATTGAAACCAGAAATGGCAAAACACAAATTTTGTTAAAGTTGGGGTTTTGACTTACGTAGCTCATTGTCTTTCTACACATTGTTCTATATTTTGAAGCTTTTCCTATGAAGATATATAGGGAAAAGCTAAGGATAGACACTTAGACATAAGAACTTTTATTTTCTAATGGTTGTTTTTATTTATTCCTTCTAAGCACACCTTTCCATCCCAAAATAATATGAACCTCAGTTAATTAAATCACATCATGGAAAATCCAGAATTAGGTAACATCTATCTTAGAACTAGTAGAATCAGAGATTTACCTCCAAAGCAATTTTCTAACACATTATAGAAAGCAAAAAGAGGCCCCAATACATGTGAATCACTACCTTGGAACCTGTGCACTGTGCCATGATGCTACCCTAGGTTGTCCTTCCCTAAATCCAGGCATGTCCCACATTTCTGATTACCATTTCCATTTCCCTGTCTTGCTGTAATAAGCTCTAGAGTAAGCTTATGATGGCAGCTCTTACTTCAGCCTGATTTCAGGAATGCAGAGTCGGAAAGAACATTTTCACAGGACTCTGGAACAGAGGAGAGAAATCTTCAACAAAACTAGAAGAGAGAGGGCTGGGGATGTAGTTCAGTGGCAAAGCGCTTGTGTTGCAGGTACCAAGCCCTGGGTTCCATCCTCAGTACTGCAAAAACAGCAATATATAAATAAAACCAAGACTAGAGGAGATGGAGGTGGAGCACTCCTCACTGCCTGTATCTCTTCAACCTCAGGAGCTCAAGATTGATTAATTGTAGTGTTTGGCTCATGCTGCACCATCTTTATTGGTTCAAACATTGCTTGACTCTTTCTCCCTTGGTTTTAAAGAGCATATATTAAACTCACATTAATTTACTGTTCTATACAAACAGTAGAATACTGATGGTGATTCTTATCTACTTGTATCAACCTTCTCCAACACTTACCCTTGCTACTCTGCCTGAGGTAGCCAATCCTCACAATCTTGAGGGAGTCATTCTCTTGCTTTGTTTATA